TAATGGGCTTTATTTCCCATTAACTTGCCACAATTGCTGACATTTAACGGTGACTAGATCAGTCACAAAGTGTCACTCCTACTTTCTGTCCTTATTCAGTGACGATGAAGTTCTTGTTATTAACTACTAACTCTGCATGCCATTCCACAGTATCTTTATTAAAGTTCAGTGTCTTTTTTTATGATTCAAACATCTTTGTATGACACGGCATTGTTTAAAAATGTAACACATATAAAACTGTTTACATGCAGGGTTAGACTGTTATGGAGATTCCACTTTATTTTCTTAGTCATTATGTAGTGGGAAGCAGTTATTATTGGCCTAGGTATGTACTGATTTGTGTTGTTATAAAGTGGCAAAGGTACAGGCTGTATAGGTAGTGAGACACACATTAGTTTACGCACGCTTTACACCCAAAACTCTAGCCAATGGAACACAGCTGTTTTATGGTACTACCTAACTACCTTTATGTAAAGTAGTTCAAACTAGCTTTACCTTGACCAGCTACAATAGTGAAATGCTACTTATGTGTTGATGTGTTACATACCGGTAATATCACTTTTTTCTGTGGAAAAAGTAGTTTTGATACTTCAGTACATTTAGCTGATAACACCTCTGTACTTTTATTGGATTGTGAATGAAGAATCTTTACATGTGATAGTGTATATTGAAGTGGTTGTGTTGACATGCTTAAGTAAAAGATCTGAATAGATACAGACCCCAGTGCTTAAGTAAACCAACATAGTGCGTTGGATATAGAATGTTGTAGCACCAGACTCGAGTCGACTGCCTGAAGTAGCGTGCAGGCTTCACCTCATGTACGTTAAGCTCTTGTCTTGAGGTTATTGCAATTCCCTCTATTGCCTTCTTACATGATAAACAAGTTCAGAAAATCAATGAAACAATGTCTAGTCATTTTTTAAGTTTAATCTTATGCAACATCAAGTTCCTGAAGCCAAAACACAAAACTATATTCAACTCAGAGTTCGCAAAAAACAGAGATGCTAAAATTGATTCTGCTTCAAACAAGTGAGTCATTATCGACACACACAGATGGCTTTTCTTTGATGGATGCCTCACAACACAGTGACTGTATCAGCAGCCACTGGAGTTTATACAGTAAATCTCATTTATGTTGCCAACTGCTGGTTCATTTGATGATGATGATTGCATATTGCAGTGCAATCCCAAAGTGCTGGTATCTGTTTTCCAAGAGACAGCATCAGTGTTTATTCCGTTTAGAAGTGTTGACCACAGGGGCTTGAGCATTTTTACAGCCTACCTATGAGTCAGATATTACTGTAATAAATAATATTTTTTGTTTTACAGTAATGGATACATTTTATAACAAGGGTATTCCACACCTGAGATTTTGCTTTGTTCTTGAAGAAAGAAAATGAAAGGGAAGATAATGATAATATGTGATTCAGACATCTAGAAAGAAAAAGGAAAGACTTTAAAAACAAGGGCAAATCCGAATCCACATGTGTATCTCATGGCTCTTGCAACTAGTCACATGCTTCCATCTGTTCTATATGAACAACGAAGCAAAATTTCACTTAAACTAATCATAACCACCCAAAAAGGGGGTTGATTAAAGATTTTTTTTCACTTGAATTTTGGGTTTCGTGCATCAAAAGCTTGTTTTCTTGCTGCAAGTAGATCCTACTCATTGTGGTTTACAGGTAGTGGTGAGGATAGTTAAGAATATGCTTCTGTTGATATGTACCTGTAAACATATGTGTACCAGTGCAACATGGGTCTTTCAGGTTCAACTTCAGCCAAAATGAACCAAACTTCATGTTTTTCCAAACTTATATCAGAAACTTTGGGCCCAATCATGAAAAAGTGCAGATATGAATGTTGGTAGAGTTGTTAGTTGTTATGCTACGGCTGGAAAGGGGGACTGTTTTTATAAAACAATTAGATGCCGGAAACATTGAAAAATTGCAGTTCATCTTCTGGCAATGGGTAAATGCTATTTATTTACCATCTCCTCTCTGCAGGCTATGCTGTCCAACCAACTAATTGTTTTTTGTTTGTTTGTTTTTTGTTTTTTTTATGAATAATGGTATGAACTTTACTTTGTTTTCAGCCAGCCAGAAGCCTCCAGCCTTCCACCATGTTGAAGTCAGAGATAAACAAACAATGCCTCGGCCCAAACATTGGGCAGAAATCCATTGTATTGAGCTAGCATATGGAGTGTGGGTGAGAATGGATAGGTTCAGATACCTGAATGCACACAAACACACACACATCGACAAGACGCAATCAGGCGGAGGGTAAACGATACTAAACTGAGAGACATGGTATGGATCACATTGGACAACAATCGTTCCAATTAACAGTTCACCTGCACTTGTTGGAACCTAAATGAATTAGTGTCTGAATTAAAGAATGTTTCCCTTGTCATTTTGAAAGTAGAAATGTGTGGAAAAACATGCCCTGGAAGTGTCAACCTGCACTTCCAGATCACGCAGACAAATTTAATTAAACGCTTGCTGACTGATCTCTCTACAATTTAAGACAAAATGATTTATCGGATACTATGGTGGTTTATTAAGCAGCAAGCTAAAAAAAACTGAAATGTTGAAGGCAAAAAGGGAAATAAGAACCGGGCAAGCACATCAAGTAAGCATTAATCTCCACTCATTCTTGTTAAATAGAAAACCTAAAACATCTACAATTAATTGAAAACATCCATCATGAGCAGGATTATTGTATCCAAAGTAAAGATGAAATAATGTATGTTACATATAACTATTGTTTCAACAGTATTTCAGTTTCCAATTTGTCTTGTAATATTTGTTACAGACAATTCAGTGTCATTCTTCCATTGCACTCTTTGTTTGTCACGCTGAATAAAAGCATTAAAATGAAATGGAAAGAGCTATGGATTAACTCTGGACACCAAAGTTGCTGATTGCTCGGTCTGATCTTGGCATCACACTGAATACATTTTTACTCTTTCAGAATCTCCAGTAAGGAAATAATAAAGTCCCTTCATATCATGCTTGAGATGAAACAATGACTTTGCATATTCTGACAGCGACCTGGCCTATTCAGTCCTGCAGACTTGCTGATGAGGCCCTCACACTGCATGGTGCGTAAGCCAATACAATCACAGGGACCACTTGGTGAATAACTGCTGATGGCTTTTGAGTCTATCAGGGGAGAGGAGTTTAAAAAATCAGCCAGGATGAATACACAAAGGGGGAAAGAGAATAAACAGAGACACGTTTATAAAAAAAATACTTTTATAAACTGTTAAAGTGCAACCTTGAAATGCCCCCACCCACGTTCATCGAGTCATTCATTGATCCCAGGCTCTGCATCAAAGACCGTTCTTATTTCCATTTTTATACCATCTGAGGGAACACCACCTGTGAAAATGAGTTGACAGGTTCACAGAGGGAGACTTCTACCAAAGCAATCAGTTGTTACAGACTACCATATTAAGGCTGAGGGTGTTTGAAAACAATTATGAGTGGAAGGCTGACTCTTTCTGAACGATTGAACAAATTGGATTGAAAGCTCTTTGCATCAATAGTGGGCTGACAAGCAAAGTGTCCCGAAGCCATAAAAAAAAGGTTTTGCTGTAAAAGCAATTTCTAATTTCATTCATTAACTTTCTGTTGGTGATTATCCACTCAAGTGTCAACCAAAACGCTGCCAATGTGAGGCACAATTTTCAATAAGAACAGATTACTTAACATATATCTGTCAGTTGTGGGGAATAAATCAACATTTTCTTGTTTTGGTCCCAAAGTCATTCAGTACCAATTGGTATATGGTTTAGCAATGTATTCTTTGTAATTTCAGCAAATTAAGAAATCATAAAGATTCCTTTTAGCTTCTTCCAGGATGAAGAAGAACCTGACCTCTATGGTTTAAACCTTTCTTAAAAGCCATGGATATCCTAATTTTTTGTGGGCACTTGACAATGAAAGTCTAATATTCACTTACTTTTAGTTTGGCTTCTTATGGAGTTGACTTGCATGCAGAATACTACAAACTGAGTCTCCAAATATCCTAACTATAAAACTAACTGATGGAAACGTAGGGCAGCACGACGCAGAGCAGAGCGACTCGTTTCTGCTCTGATGATCTTAGCTCTGGTGCTGAACGTTGTTGAAGTCAGCTGAACTTCTGAACAAGATGCTGATAATGCGTCTTCTGACTGACATCTGACTCATGTATGCTGTTAGAGGTGAATGTGAGCTGATCTGCAGGTGTACTGAACTGTAACTCTAACTGGACATGTAGACTATGAGTAATATAT